CGAAATGCTATCAGTGCTCCGCATCCAGATTCGGCAGGTTACCAAGCCGTTCCACGAACACGATTAGATTCAATGGTGGCAAGGATGGAGGACGTTGGGGACGCCCGACTACTCTCATTCATGCCAGTGTCTCCAAGCAGAACAAACTCACGGCGAGACCCTAATCGAGATTCGGACAACGACCGTTGGAGGACGAAACCGTTTTTCTGGAGCGGGAATTGTAGACAACACCAAGCCCTTTCGTCTCCCCAGTCCCACAATCGAGAATCGGGCCATCGACCGTTGGAGGAGTTCAAAGCCAAGCGAGAATCGGAACACCGACCCTTGGGACGCGCGACAGCAGCAGCAAGTTTCGATCGAGAATTGACACGGCGACAAACGAAGGCATATTCAAGTCCTGCGATCAGCTAGATCGACCGTCGAGACTTGCGATGCACGAGCTCCCCGATTGAGAATCGGTGGACCGACCTTTGTGAGAGAAAGAGGAGAAGAGTGGTCAAGTCGGACAGAAGGGCCTGGGCGAGGAGGTCCCGGATTGGCCCGGGAGGAGACGCCATATATTGAGAGTCGTAGAGTACCAATGGTGCTCTGCGACTGCCAAGTTGCTTTTGTTTAGGTCTTAGTGCCCTCTTTCGCAATATACTTGTTTCAAATCTTGGAATCAGTTGACAAACCAGCAAAAGCACGTTGAGTCATAGCGCAGCTTTACTTGGAACTTACCTAGAACTTACCTCCAGTACCTGATTACAAGTTCACTCCCACACACGCATCTCCTGCGCTCCATCGACTCTGCTTACTGCGACGGTGAACGGGGCAGTCACGGTGCTGAGCGGTGCTGCTTCCTCTCTTATTATGTACACGGGCGCCGCTTTGATCTTGCCCTCATGGCTACGGCTGAGCTCTGCAAGTTCGACCCAGACACAAAGGCGCTCACCATCGGTGCGCCATGCCAAATGGGTCGATCTCCGCTCATTCTCTCTGCAGAACACGGGAACCCTGACGGCCACGTCAGCGGGCTCTGGACGCCGGTCCGCAAGGCTGACGTCAGCGACGTGTGCTGCACCACGACGGAGGCCATCGGGCTCGTCGACTTTCGCCGGTCGGCCAGGACCCGCATGGTGTTGGCACCGGGACGGCGTTCTCGATCGCCTATTGTCGAAACGAAGCGATCCGGGACTGCGCTGAGAACACGGCGATGCGCAGCAGACGGCCCCCTTTGCGAACGCGCTTCTCCGAGCGATCGCCGGCCGACTGCAGCAGCCGACAGCCGGCAACCGGGTCCGCTGCCGCTTCCGGACGCTCCCCAGCGGAGACTTTGAGCTGTCGGACAGCAGAGTGGAGCGGCTGCACCCCATGCAACCCGTCAGCGGCCTGCCCTTGCCCGTGGTCACCCTGGAAGACTTGTATCGCACGCACAAAGGCCCTTCGGTGGAGGGTGTCTACAACCAGCTGGTCACGCTCAACAAGTCGGAACAGTATGTGCTCAAGACCTCGGACAACAAACCTGAGGTCTTGGACGCTGCCGTTTTCATGGCCGCTCTGCCTGAATGCGACCTCCTCCTCCGCCCGAGCCACACAGTCAGCGACCAGGGATGAGAACTTCCGTGGGTTCCTTGTGCCCTACCAGCCAGCGTCATCCATTAACCATGTCCTATCTGCGCGGAGAGCTCCTCTGACCTGGGACCTCAGACTCGGTTGGTGCACCGAGATTGCTGGTGGCCTCGCTTGGCTTCACACGCATGCCGCTTGGGGCGATATGAAGCTGGACAATGTGGTCCTGTGCCGCGACGGCCACTGCCGTCTGATCGACTATGCACGTACCGAGGAGTACACTGCAGCCTACCGTGCGCCAGAGGACGAGACAAGCACTGCAGGGGACATCTATTCCCTTGGGATTGTATTGTAGGCAGTCGGCGGCTGTGCAACTTCTGACATTGCTCCCCCATTCGCATTCCCTGCGGAAGCGGAAGTGCCTGACTGGTTCGCTGTTCTGGTGGGCAGCTGCATGCAAAAAGACCCCGCACTGCGCCCGACTGCATCTGAAATCTACCAGACGCTCCAGTGTAAAACAGTTCTGATGTAATGCATCTCTCTACTGCAATAAAACGGTTCTGAACTACAGGTCTGTGGCTGACGAGTTATGTTTTAGTCATAAACTTCACCATGAGCACCTCTGAATCTCCAGACCTCCAATTCGTCATAGACGCCGAGAGTCCTTACTAGGATCCGCTGCAACGCGGGGAATGCTTGCGCAGAAATCACCAGGTGATTGTTAGGGGCTGCTGACGTGTAGAGAATTACAGGGTCTGACATACTCCAAATGACTACTTTCAGCTACAATGGTCCAAAATCTTCAAGGGGAGCACGAAACGACAGATAGTGGTCAGGCCAACTCACATTTAAAAGTGCGGATTGAGGAGCAGGAAAATGATTGAATTTGAATGGATTTTCTCTCCAAGTTCTGAAAGCAGGGGTGAGTGTTACACTTTGTACTTGTTTGGCTTCAGATTTGATCCTCTTTCCTCGCACGTGTTAGTCTAGGATTGCTCGCTGCGCTCGCAATAAGTACCAACCTAACGGCTTTCACCCCGTGCATCTCGGCAACTCTTTTGCCGACGGACGCTATCAGGTGGTCCACAAGCTGGGCCACGGCCTCTCCTCGACAATCTGGCTCGTGCTTGACACACAGACAAGCACCTACAGGTTGCTCAAGATAATAGCCGCATGGAAATCTGCGACCGAGCTCCCCGTTCTCCAGCACTTGGAAGCCAATTTCAACGGACAGGAGGAGGGCAGCAACCATGTTGGCCGGATGCTGGACCATTTCGTGCATGAGGGGCCAAACGGGCGGCACCAGTGCATTGTCAGTGCTCGGCCCGACTCTCCACGGTCAACTATGATGAACTGGCGCGGATCACTGCAGAACAGGTCGTCGAGAGCGAGTGGGTGCAGAAGTATTGTGTCCCTCAGATGGGCCCAGCAAGCACATTTGTGGTCGAGTATTGTTAACTATTGTTCTTGAAATTAATGATAAGTTTGTACATCCAAGAGCCTATTGCGTTGTCGCTGATATTCTTCACGGTGTTTGGCTACACCCACAGAAGGAAAGGACAGGGATGTCGTTGTCGCAAACGTTGTCGCCTGTTGTAACTTGTCGCGTACGTGACGTTACAATGTGTGACCAACGCTGACCAAGGTGACATCGCCTCTGGACTTCACCATTCACCATGTTCTTGATTTTCGAATCCGTTGAAACCCTCTGGGCTCTGTTCGACTCCATCCGCTTGGCCTTCAGTCCTACCTCTAACACCATCTTCATACCTCCAACCGCCACCTCCCATTCCATCCAGGCTTCGCCGTTGCCACTTCTGCCGCTCATTTCCTTTGCACTTGTGACGACTGTTTTCATTCCAGTCCTGGTGCTCAGACATCGCTGCAGTGCTGTATCAGTACTCTGCTTCTACTTCTTCCTGACTATGGCCGCCACTCTCTCTAGAAGTGGCAACTTGGTGCCTGCGTCCGAGTTCGTTCTTCCAAATAATTTCATTCTATTCGAATCTGCGGCCTCTCGGACATGGCTGGTATTTCTTGGCTGCGTTGACTCCCTCCAAACCCACCTCTTTTTCCATGGCATGGGTTACCTTCGTATGATGTGGTTCGCGGCGCTCAGTCATTCTGGCTGGCTCCTCGTTTCCCTTATCCTGATGAAAGCTGGCGCCTTTTTAACCCGGTTGTATCTGTCAGATGTGCTGAATGTGCTCCTCATTGTTGTCGTGCCAATAATTTCAGATGCGCCTCTATATTGGCGTATCATATGGTTGCAGTATTATATGAATGGTATGCCCATTCCGGTCATTTTTGCGCAACTAGAACAACAGGTCCGGGGCTGCTGCTCTTTCCCAGCAACGTGGTCGACCAGCGATTCTATCGTAAGTTTTTTTTTCCGCCTCGTCAACAGTTTCTGGTTTTGTGCTCACGGGAAGCAAGATGGTTGTGGGACCAATGGCCATACACATCTTGTTCATTGTAAGCGCCGCGGCCATCTTCATTATCGCCCGTGCCCCGCCCTTTGCCTGCTTTGCATTCAGGGTCCGTCGTCATATGCACTTTGGCCTTCCACAGCTCCTCGCGGGGTTTCTCGCTTGTGGTGGGAGCTTCAGAGTTGTATACTCCGCCGCCTTGTCGGCTGCGTCCGAGTGTTACTCACCCGACCAGTCATATTCCGGTTTTTGGTGGAGAATGTTGCGCATAACATTGTCTGACATCTCTCTTGCACGACTCGGAGCCCCACCCGAAATCTTTCCGGTCCTTCAAGAAGTAACTGCCTGGCAACACTCTCAATCGATGGAGCTCATCAGGAAAATGACAAGTGCTTTTTTGGTAGCTTGGGTAGTCCTTTATTCAGTTTTTATCTTTTTTGTGAACTTGTGCCAACCTTATGGACAGCTTGAATGACTTGTGATACTTTTAAGCTTTCTTCCTTTAAAAGCTTTAAAACTTTTTTAGCTTCAGATATTCTTGAAAATGATAAAATATCTGAAAATAATATTTTTGAAAAAAATTTAAAATAATATTTCATGTGCATGGTAGTCTGCATACTTGTTTACATAAAAAGCTTCAAATGCATCTAAAGAGTCTGAAAAGCTCAAGTCTTTGTCATCAGGAGGTAGAAAGTCCTTGCCAGCCACACCAATCAAATGCACTCCCCGTAAGATCGCATCAAGATGGACAACTGCTAGCAAGGGTTCTGTGCGCGCAGAACCCCGAACCCAGTCTGGCTTCACAATCCACATCCCAGTATCCAGACAAGGGGCATCGCCATGAGCAGAGAACCAATGAACCAAGGCGCAGGGATATTGAATACCGCGGAATGTGAACTTCATCAAAAGTCGAACACGGACAGCGTGAAGGCCACGAAAGCCCTGAGCGTCGGTGTCATGCTCGATGAGAGCACAGTCGTATCGAGGTGGACCACGGTACCATGACTTGGTGGCTCGAATTCATTCATGACGCATCCCACCAATCCCGCAGATGTCGCTAGGAGCATAGAACACTGCCCGGGCGGAGGTGTAGATATAGACACGTTCTGCGAAGTCTGGACAGTCGTCAAGAGGGATAATGTCCTCAGTTGCGGCTTGCTCAGGATTGAGCTGCTCAAAGAGAAAGCGTCGAATAAGTTCGTGAAGACGTGGCTGGTGTACATAACGTGCCAACTGGTGTATGTCGCGGGGCACCTTTCGAACTGGAAAGGCTTTATCAAACACGGTAGTAAAAGATAGGAGGAAGACAGTACCACAGCTCTTTGCAAGAGTTACCTCCCCTAGGCAGGTAGGGCCCGGAACATCCCCTTCTTCCACATCATCATCAATAGTGGTCTCTACTGGTTGAGGTTCCTCCTCTACAGGCACCAGCGGTGATGCAAATAGCGACCCAGATAGCATGCCACGGGCAGTGAAGTCAGCCCGTGCAGCAGCAAGTTTGTCGAGTCGTTGGTTCGAGAGGAGCATTTGACCAAGGGGTTTATTTCGATTAGAGCGGCGGTATGGTCGCTTTACGGCCCGGATATGCTTCGACTCCGTGATCGAGCTGCAAAGTCCATTTGGAACACCAAAGTCCATGATGCGAGCAATATAATGCTTCAGTGCATGCTGCCGAGGGAGCGAAAATCCTTGCGGACGTACAACTCGGAAGGCCTCACAGTAGTGATGATAGCGCCGGATCGTCTCGTCAATTATCTGAAGGGTATCTTCATCAATTACCGAGCGGCGAACCAGGTAGCAGAATTCAATTAGCGCTGCAACCGCCTGAACCATTTCACTTGGAACATGGCCAATGATTGCTGGAAGATAGACCTTCCACCCTTTCAGTCCTGAATATAGCTCTGAATCTTGACTTACCTTCATTAAACCCTTTGAATCATTTCCCGTCCACTGTTTGAAGCCTCGCCCGACAGGAAAACGTCGCAGCCCTGGAAACGGTGGAGCCACAGCAATACTAATAATATATATCAGAGAAGTGAATAAGTTTAAATGAAGGGCATTACCGTCGATCAATGTCTGCCAGAATACGCTCAGCTTGTGCAGGCTCATTCACTTGCTTGATATACAATTCAATCCAGTCGACGATATGGTCCTTGAATGTCCCCTTAATAATTTGATGTAAAAGATCGACCGAAATGAGTTCGTGAATATCGGCACAAGGAAAGTCCGCTGTAAACGGCTATACCAGATAAGTACAATTACAGACAGATACATAGGACAAACAATTATATCCCCCACAACCCCATAGTTGTCCCACATCTCCTTCAGCGTCAACGTCTCCAGCAGAGCTGCAGTATGCTCGCAAGACCGCAGCGGGCTGTCATGGTCAAGGTGGTCTGCTGGAGAGAGACAACTGGAAAAACTGTGAGCTAGTGAGGGCAAGAATAGAAGTTACCTACATAGGACAATAGCCCTGGACAATACCTGTAAGAAGAACCTGCTCGGGGTAATCCGCAATATCAGGGCCAAAGCCATAGATGGCTCGCCGAAAGTGTCGATCCGCACAGCGAGTAACACGCGGGGTTGTCATATGAGGCCGGACAGACTCAAAGACTCGGCGGATGGACGAGTGGAATAGCTGTCGTCGAAATTTGCGAAACTCATTGCTGTTGGCATATTGTTGTGTTGCTAATATCTATTAGTGTTTGAAAAATACGGAGAAGCACCACATACTCTTTGGAATGGCGAGGAATGCAAGCAAAGCGATACCATCGCGATGACTACGTCGAGCGCTATTATGCTCGTTGCCAACACCTCCATACATCGGCCAGAAGTCGACATTCCCAGTTCCAATTGAAGCCGTGGTTTTGTCGCTGCCAGTAACAATGGGAACGAACATCGCTCCATGTGTCTTCTCATCTTTGGCGATGATATCCTGCAAGGGCTTAGCTTGAATGTGGATTGAGAGGGTCAACTTACTGCTTGCCTCCATGCCCAGTTACCGGACATTAAATCAGTAAACTGTCGCTTGTCGTTCTTGAAAACGCGTTTGGGAGCCCAGTCGAGCTCATCCCTGAACTCCGGATTGGCTAGTTGTCGCTCAAAGATAGCGAGCGGCGACCGGAACCAGACCTCGTAGGTTTGTGTCATCCACGAGGGTGTTTCGCCTGTCTTAGGACGCGGGCCGGTGTACTGGACAGAGAATGACTGCCAGGGAATGTCGCCCTGCTGTATCTCATCGATCATCGCATAGAGATGGCGATGGTTGTTGAAATACGGGTCGTCCTTGTATAGTGCTGCCATAAACTGCGCCAGTTGATCAATGGAATCCCTCGACATCTCTTGTCGCTTGAAGATGAACTCCGCAAACTCGAATTGAGCGCGGGTGTCGAACGAGCCCCAATCGTCCTCGGCGCGTTCATCCAATGGTGGGGGTGCAGCGCCAGGAGGGAGGTCGTATCCATCGGCATCGCAGGGTGTCCCTGAGAAGTGGTCAGAATGGTTTGCAGAACTATTAAGATATGCACCATCAAGCACAGGATGGTGCTCGATTCGCACACGCTCGTGCGCGATTGGTTCAGCCACTGAGGCTGGAGGTGCCTCGGGCGGCGGTGAGGGGAGGTGGGAATGGCAGAGGGTCGTCGATAGGCTCCAGCTCTGGAGAAGTTTGATGTTGGTTGTTGGCGGTGGGCCGGCCGAGAGCAGCAGCGTTGGAAAGTAAAGGGTGGCTGTTTCGGTGTCGAGTCAAGCCCGAAGTTGACAGGCAAGCCTTCCCACAGATGTCGCACAGAAAGCGAGCGGTGCTGAAGGGTTGGCGGGCTCGACGCGGCATGGATTGGACGGCGGGGAGACAGTTGCGCGCGTTCGCGTATGCAGGAAGATGGGCAAGGACGGTGGGGCCCCCACGTAAACGGCGAGCTGTAAGCACGTTGTAGCCTCAGCCAAGGTGTGTCAGAGACTCACCGCTTCCTTGAAGCCAAGTAGCCAGAGGCCCAGAGTTGGCCCAGAGTCAAGCGCGTCAGAGTTGTGTCAGAGTTCGGAAGGCCGCTGCCAGTCCGCCGGGAGCGTCAGCACGCATGACACATCTTCCGATGGTCGCGGTCGTGAAAATTTTCACTCCGCCCACCATCTCTGCCCTCTGTCCCGCCAGCTAGCACACCCCAGCCGCCATGACACGTATGTGCCAGTGTCTCCAGAGGGGATGTTGGATTGCTGACCCCGTTCGTAGGGTCAGATCGCTCTCTGTGCGCCACCTGCGAGATAAACACGCCGGACACCTTCAACGACATTTCTGCAGCCCAACCCGCTGTTTGAGACACCCAAAAGGCGATGGTTGGTGAATCTGGGAGTGGTATAAAAGCAGGTGAGTGCTTGCGTGCCACTTGTGAATCTTTTCTCATTTCAGATGGCTGGTCGTTCTCGCAAATCAGTCGCTCTCCCTCCAACAGCGGTTGAAGTGCGTGTTTCTTTCAAAATATTCTATCTAGTGCTAACCCTTTTTGACTAGCAAAAGGCAAGGTCGAAGTCGAAGTCGAAAGCCCCAGCAGTTGTAAAAGCAGCTGCTGTAACCAAGAACTCGTCAAGTCTTGACCAAAACGAGCCGGTTCGTCATATCTGGATATCTTTCAGTCGCTTTATCCTCCCTATAGGCCTCTTCTGGCGCCGCTAACACCGCTCAAATGAACAGCGAAGACGAGCTTCCCGAGCGCCTCACAGTATGGCTTCTCGAATGCTTTGAGTCCATACTAAACATTCCTGTCTCCAGATGACCATGCGGCCCGGACGTGCACTAAACCCCGGGCTGCCTGATATGCCTTGTAGCAAGCGCACAAGCGCTGAAGTCGCAAAGACCAAGCAAGCCACTGTCAACAGCAAGCTCGCAACTGCCGCCAAATACGCCTCGGGCGTCAAGAATATTGCTCACATCGAGGGCTCAAGCGCTGCGCGAACAGTAGAAGACGATCCAAACAGCGGCTCATCCTCCGGTTGCGCAGACCCACAAGAAGCTACGTCCCCGTCCAGAGCAAGGTCCTGCAGCGGTCGACAAAACACAAGGTATTATCTAATTTTAAAGTGACTTCGCCTCTGACTATTCTTCCTAGCATTTGTTGACTTCTCTGACGGCCAAGGCAGCAGCGACGAGTACCAGCAGAGCCACGAAGATGACGACGACGACGACGACCCATCCAACGACGTTATGGATGTCGAATCGGACACAGAACCCGCCAAACCCCCTCCGGTAAAGAAATGCAAGGCACATATTCGTGCTGCCGTCGAAAAAGCGCGCGAAGAACTTGTTGCTGCTGCCGCACCTGCATTGAAGCGCAAGGCCTCACAAACTGAGTGGGTTTCTTTTGCACATTTTTTGCCACAATACTGACGACGTTCAACTACAGAGTCACTCGCACCACAAAAAAGGCCTGCGCCGCACAACCCCATGGTCTTCGAAAAGACTATCGACCCTCTCGTACTGACCAACCCGATGTCGATATGGCCTGGGACGATGGAAATGACACAGACGACGTTGGCGGCGGCTTTATCTCTGACAACGAAGATGATGGTGAGGAACGGGCGGCCGTCATTCGCTCCCCAGGCAAGGCCAAGGCCGCTATTGCTAAGGTAAACCATCGATTATTTGTGTCGCATACTGACTCCACCTAGATTCCTGCGCTTGCGGGCATTGTCGCCACGACTGAGCCAATGTATGTTGCCCCGAAGGACGACTCCACAACCACCACGAAGCTCAAGAAGGGTTCGATTACCCACAATAACCTGCCGCTCGAGTTCCGCCGTCTCTTCACCAAGGTCTTCGCGCCACATATGCTCAAGCGGCTGGGTGAAGATGAAGCATGGGCCACGTTTGAGGATGGCGAGATTGTGGCCTCATGGAACAGCATGTTCCCCGAGCTGCAGGTTGGGCTGGAGACTGACCTCGCGGTCGTCATCGTTAAGCTGGTGAGCTCTTCATCTTCTTTTAGATCCATACTGACAACACGAGACCGAGGACAAAATTGACGCGTGACGTCATCGCATTGGTGCGACTGCTATCAAGGCAGTCGGATTGATGCTCAGCGATTACAAGACCCTCGAGGACAAGATCGAGTCTGTTAAGCGCAACAATGGTGGGTCCGATGATGAGTGCGGAGTGGGGACTGCAAATGAGCTCTCTAACTAACCAAACCAACAAAAACAACCAAAACTCCACTTGTCGTAGAGAGAAAGATGTATAATGTCGAGTAGGAAAAGTCACAAAACCCAAAAAAATCGTCAACTCCTTGTGCGAGTACAGGCCCCTGTGAACAGAGCCTTGGCACAGATGTGTAAGGTTGTAGGGTAGATACGAGTTTCTTGCGAAAAACGTTGATTTGTCGTGCCCCAAAGCGTACTATCGACGAAACTCAGCAATAGAGAAGCGCCAATACGATGCCCGGAGAGTTTATACTCGTTGGATCAGGACTAACTGCCTTAAACCCTCTGAGTTGTCTCGAGTCAGGAACTAACTGCCTTAAACTCTCGACCAGCAACCGAAACCCAATAAACAGCAACCGGAACTCTCTTTTAAACGGCAACCGAAACCCTCAACCAATAATCCTTCGACGCGATGATACTATTTCGAAAGAGCTAGCAAGATAAATTGACGAGCTAGATCCCCAGATGCACCTAGTAGAGCGGGGCAATCCGTGAACCTGCCAAATACAAAACAGAGGTATAAATACTAAACAGAAATTGATAGAATCAGGGAAAATCTCGAGTAAGAAAAGTCGTCCATGTGCATAATTGTATAGGTATCGTTTCGCCATACGGCCCAGAGTCGAAAATCCAGGTCCAGATGACTGGTATCGTGTATTGGAGTCAATGACCTGTGTAAATCTTCCGTGTTCGCGACCATCTAGTTTTGCTTGTGAAGAATCCCTCGATCTTGAGTAGGATAAGTGGATAGCTCTGCTTCCCAGCTTTCGATTGACACCCATAACTCGTATCTTGTGCATATGGCCTCAGCGGTGGTTGTCCCAACTCTCCTGGCGCATTTCCAATGTTCAGATGATCTGTTCCTCGACAGTGTTTTAGAGTCGCCGTTGATCACAGGTCCAGGCCCCAGTCAATTGGAGTAGGTTTTCGCCGTTTAACCGTCCCTTGGCACTCTCGACCCTCCAGCATGATCCGAAACCACGTTCCAATGATGTCAGTCGTCGATACCAACAGAGATAGGGGTGTCCCTTATCTAGGAGAAGTCGATCTCGAGTCTCCACCGAGCGCCAAACCGAATATGCCTTTTAGAATACACTCCCTTTGGGTATTTTGCGTAGAATTGGATAGATTCTAGCGTAGAACGGGCTCTGCGAACTTTTCCTAGTCAAGATTTTGGAATCACTGAGAGCGATTTGATAGATTTTGACTGGAGTTTGACTGGTTCTTGTGCAGGTAATTCCCTAGTTGACCATTCGGGACTCATGTCAACTCTGAGACGTGCGCTGAGCAACAAAATCGACAAAAATAGTCGTTTCCTGGTCTGTCCCAGACTGCGGCTTATCATCTCCCCCATTTTTAAATCTCGACTGTCCCCAGTCGTCTTTGGCAATACTCGAATTCAACAACATCAATGAATTCTCTCCATCTTTCACTTCTCGCCGTCAGCGAAGATCATGGATCGACACTCCGGACTCAAATTTTTGACATTCTCTGTCGGATCTTCGGTTCTGCCAAGCAAAGGCGTTGCCGTGATCACCGATTTGCCCTCGGACAAAGAAATGCTTCCGTTCAGGCGCCCGGTCGGCCCTTTCCGTCTCGCAAGCTTCCTTAATTCCACCGCGGGTTTCCAAATCACCCAGACCCTTGGGCTGCTAACCATTTCGAGCGGTTCCGACTGCGCACAAAGACGTTTAATTTCCCTGAGCCGGTGTATACAGTTTAAGCTTCAGAAGCGTCTTCACTGTCACGTTTTGTTCTTCACGCTTCTTCACGGCTTCTTCCTCTCGATATTTAAGCCTGGCGCCCCTCCTTTTTCGCTCATTCTTTCTTTCCTTTCGCCCACCATGTCCAGCAAAAAGGCCTCCTCGTCGAAACGCGCTTCTGCCCGCGACTCCTCTCCTGCCCCTATCAATCCTCTCGTCCCCAACAATTGTTTTTCGGTCTTCAACACCGAACGGCATCAAATTCATCCAGGCCCTTTCGAAAACCGTGAAGAAGAACCCTGCCGTCGTCGAAGCTCCGAGTAACATCCCCAAGGCGGTCTCCACCATTAACCTGATCATCCCCTACTTGGTTCGTCATCCCCTTTTTGCCCAATTTCTCTAACTCCTCCTCTGTAGCGCTTATATTTTCCACAAAACCAAGTGCCTGTCGGAAGACAACGGTGGAGCGAAGGTGTCCCTCGACCTCGTCTTGTTCCTCGAGCTCGTTATCCAATTCCGCGACCATCTCCCTTCCAACCAAGTCAACCATGAGCTCTCTCTCCTGACTCTCGCCCATGTCAAGGGGCGGAATTGCACGTATCCCTTTCATTCCCTTTTTCTTTCATCGGCTAACTTTATTTGTAGAACTTCGACCGTTCCGGCACGTCTTGGACCTTTCCAACCCTGATTTCGTCCTGGGTTTCCGCCCCTCGAAGTTCCTTCCAACACGCCCACTTTGGAGGAGTCCCTGCCTGCCGCAGCTCCTAGACCGAAGCCTAAGAAGACCACCGCTACTCCCAAGTCGAAACAGCAACCTCCACCCAAGTCTCCCAGTCCCATCCACATTGCTTCCAGCGACGACTCCGGCTCTGGTGACGATGATGACGACAACAATCAAGAGGAAGAGGAGGAAGAAGAAGATGACCAGAACGAGTCTGGT